CTGCAGCCTATGCCATCGCCGGTGACTCACAGCAGCCCAGCTCCAGGTTGAGCTGTTGTTCAGCATCTTAGCTGTGGAGGGCAGTGTCACTAGCCCTCATATGTGGGATCCGAACCGGGGTCCTCTGGCATCCCAAGCTAGTTCTTAACCATCGCGCCACTCGGCTGGCCCTGAAATTATTATTTTTTCTTAATGTTATAAATGACCTTTGGGATATGCTCACGTATTGACCAGAAAAGTTATAAAACACCCTCTAGCAGGTCTTTGTTTAATGTTTTTAGAATTAATTCCTTAACTCTTTGTTTATTCCCTATGACAAATCCTAAAAGAAAGAAACAAATGTAATTGTAAAACTAAGATATTACTGTCTTATATTCTATTCTTATAATTTTTATAACCGTCATAAAACATCTTTATATAGAATATGTATATAATATAATTTTTGTATTTAGGAAGAAAATATATCCCTATATTTCTTTTAAAATAAAACAATATGTCAGTGTACTCTCAGAATTGGTTTACTCTAAAATACTTATGATCTAGCTTAAATGTATTTCCAGACCACCTAAATATAATATAAATTAATCTTGTACTTTAGATGGCTTTAAAGTTAAAATAACGCGTTATGTGTATTTATATACACATATATACACATATATACTGTTTTTAATTATAAATTCACTTTCAGTAGGAATCAGAAGTAGACCTTGAAAATGCTATACATTATCTTCTTCCTTGTTAATTTAATATTCCCATACTTTCACCTGAAGGAGCCTTCTTTGAGTGAGGATCTGTGAATGGATAATCATGCAGTGTCTGAAAAGTCTTTATTGTGCACTCATTCCTGGCGGTTGAGCTGCCTATAGATTATCAGGTGGACTGTAATTTTCTGTCAGCACTTTGAATAGTAATCCATTGTCTTATGTCCCTCTATTGCCTTTTTATTTTTGTTAATTTCTAGATAGTCTTTGTTTCTGTTTTTTGGTTTTTCTTTTTGTTTAGTTTTTGAAGTTTCCTTGTCTTTACACTTCTGCAGTCAGTTTCAGACAGATTTTTATTTATCTTGTTTTTTGTGTTTCTTCAGTCTAAGGAATTATGTCATTCATAAATTCTGGGAAATTGTCAGCCATTATTTCTTTGATTATATCCTCTTCTCCTTTTCTGTATTTATTCTTGAAACTAATTTTACTACCTTTTGCTGTCATTATGCTTCATTGCCCTGTTCTTGCTATCATTTTGACTGTATCTTCCATCTCCTTTGCTGGCTGTTCTACTCTACTTAATTCCAAATGTGAGTGGTCCCTTGTTTCTTTTCACTTTTCCATTTACATTCTTACTACTTGGAGAGCTGAAAAACTTTACTGTATACTCATAAACTAGGTGGAGTGAGACCTAAACTTTTTACTATTCCTATCTTAGTAGATAGTTGCATTTCCTACTATCACTTCATATTTAACAAATTCTAGCAAAACTCTTACTACAATAATTTTTTCTCCATGCTTGCCCCATGCTCAATTTTCTCATTTCCATTTCCTTTAGTCTTTTCTTCATTCAGGTTGGAATTTTAGGACTGAGCATCAGTTGCTCACTAACATTTGTCCCCCTGACCTACTACTACTACCACCATCATCACAATCTCATTCAATCCATGAGCTATCGTCTCTGGAGTCTTACTGAAAATCTTATACCTTAATCTCTTTTTTTTTACATTTTTATTACCTTAAATTTTATCTACTGCAGTAGTATTACACTGGTTTTTATGCAACTTTCTCTTGTTTTATTAATCCTAGACCTGTTAGCACTAATCTAAGATGCTACTCGGGCGACAGAAAGAACTTCCTTGTTTTATAACTATTAGTGTTTTTTATTGTCTTTATCACCTCATTTAATGGGATCATTGTGAGGGTAAACTGTATGATAATTAATGTAAAAGTTCTTTGTAAACTTAGATGTTACTGCAAAATAACATTTGTTTACAGAGACCTTTTACATATAATTATCTCAGTAAGGTAAGTAATATATCATCTCATTACATAGATAAGGAGGGTTGCACAAAGGAAAAGGTGGAACTAGATTATTAATCCATGTATTTGGCATAGATTTGGTTTTACAAAACCATATATATATATATATATATATATATATATATGTTTTTTACACCCACATACATATCAACTCGTCTTGACTTTAAAAGTCTTCTGTGCCTAATTCTAAATGCCCGTTTAATCTCATCCTTTTTTTGAAATTTAACTCTAGTCACTCACTTTCCTAAAATCCTGAATGCGTGATTGTACTATGGATGATTTAGGAGGAAGAGACAGTACCCCACAAATGTGTTTTATACTTATCTGTCTCCAAATGTATCATTTCTAAACTCTTCACTTTGAATGTTCTTTCCCTTCTGTTTCTCAAATTCCCATCCCTTCTTCCATATCTTGCTTTAAATCTTTTCTATAAAGTTTTTCCTGAATAATTTGGAGCAAATGTAGTGCTCTATTTATACTCAACTTCTGTTACATTCATTGTTTCATTTATATAACCTTTTATATCTTATTTTTGCAATTAGATTGTAAATTTCTCATGCACTAAAGCCACTTAGTTGCACTTAATTTCGTTTGTTAGAGAACTCTCATAATGCCTTATGTGTAGAGGACTCCAAAGGAATATGTTGACTGATAAAATGACTTTTTCTTTCAGGATTATTGGCAAACTCCTGTGATTTAAAATTTATGTAAATATGATCATTAAAATATACTAATGATTCAGAAAGAGATTGTTCAACTTTGGTTCAAATATGTTTTCTAATTTATACATCTAAATGACAGAATCTACATAAAGATCATTAGAAATAGCAATTTAAGTTTAAAACAGGCAGGCATGTACTTCGCTAACATAAAATTAGTATGTTTCTAGAAGTTACATGTTTTAGGAACTATTTAAAGGAATAAATAGTATGTTGTTTTAAAATCTTTGTAAAATAAAAATCACTTGTTTGTGTTTTGTAAATTTTATATTTTGAAATTGTTTCAACTCATAGAGGCTCACATGTAATTGTGATGTATTATGATAAAGCCGTATACTCTGTGTCATAACCAGTTGAGACCACTTGCTAACAAATTACAAAATTTCTCAAGTTATCCTGTCTCCAGAGATGGAAACACTACTTTTTAATCAAATGTAAGATTGGTTCGTAAACATATTAATGACCATTAAGCCTCATAGTTCAGTTTTTCTGTTTTAATAGATTAAAATCATTTATTTCTTCTTTTAAACAGGTTGAATCAAGGGATTCGTTGAACAGTATAGCCCTGAAATTTGATACAACGCCAAACGAACTTGTTCAATTAAATAAGTTATTCTCCCGAGCAGTTGTTACTGGACAGGTATCTTTTTTTTTAATGCCTTTGTATGGAAGCATTAAGTAGCAAGACAGAAAGTATTCATTGCAGCAGAGCTAATAATATAGGAAATTTAAGAATACTTTTATTCATGCTTTGAACAAATCATATTTGCTGCAGAAGAGAAAATTGTCACAAATTTTTCTTCATACACATTGCACATAATTGTGAATTGTGTTTTCAAATATAGTTTAAAAGCACTTTTTAAAATATTCAAAGCAGTACATGTACATAATAAAAAATTCAGACATCTTTAAAGGTGAGTTATCCTATCTCAGACTTCTAGTTGCATTTTCCAGAAGCAGTCACTGTTACCAATTTCTATCCCCTTCCAGAAATATTTTAGCCTTTTCTTTAAATTTAACTTTGGTTTTGGAAAATGTTTTAGATAAGCACAGCTCAATCTCAGACTTTTCGTGTGTGTAGTGTTGCACTGTATTGATATATTTTAGTTTATGCACAATAAGCTTTAGACTGTCTCTACTCTTTTGCTGTTGTAAATATTGTAGGAAATACTTTTGTACGTATTTCTTTTTCTTTATACGCAAATACTTCTATAGAGTCCTACAAGTAACATTGTTGCATTAAAGGATATGTGCATTTTAAATTTTGTTAGCTATTGCCAAATTGTCCTTTAGGAAGAACTCCCACATTATATAAGATTTATTGTTTCCCCATCCTATTCCTGACAGTACGTATTATCAAACTTTGCTACATTGAATTGAATTTTTTTTTTTTTATTAATGGTAATAAATATTCTTTTAATCTGAAGATTTTTCTTTTTTCTTTTTACTGCTGAAGATCATTGTTAATGGTACTTGCTGATATAAACACCATCTGATTATTAATAGTTCAGTTTGTGTGAATCTTTACTTCAGGTTTTATATGTTCCTGATCCTGAATATGTCTCCAGTGTTGAGAGCTCTCCATCTCTAAGCCCCATAAGCCCCCTGTCATCAACATCATCTGAGGCTGAATTTGATAAGACCACTGTAAGTGTCCCTACGTTTCAAAGATTGCTATAAAGAAATCTCACTGTTATGGACAAGGTGTAATCAAACAATATGGTGAATCGTTACATAAAAAAAATTATTATAGTAAAAGACACATTGCCATTCATCCCCCTCAGTATACTCCCCCTCACTTCAAACACACTTATCCCATCATCCCACTTTCTGAAGCAGTTCTGGAAATCCTCTTTCATGAGTGTCTAGTTGCGCTGTTGTGGCTGCCTCCATGTCCTGAATCATTTTGACTTTGGGGAAGAGCCAGAAGTTCCACGGTGCCAGATCCGGTGAATAAGGTGGTTGAGGACACACTGCAGTGTTTTTATTTGACAGAAATTGCCACATACCAGAAGTGATGTGTGACACAGAGTGTTGTCATAATGGAGGATGATTAATGGCACACTTTAAAACAAAGCTTCTTCTCCACCGTAGCTCACACCCGACTGACTGCATCAAACAAGTAGAAACTTGTCACACACTGTTACTAAGGTTTGACGCACCACTTCCCCAAAGATCCCTGCCTTTCCATTGGATGGCACTCAGCAGCAACATTCACCATATTTTTTTATCACACCGCGTTATATCTAATTGTGCTTTTTTATCCTATTTAGACTATTGTTACAACGAAATTTTACCTTTTATCTTGTTACTTAAATGTGTAAATCCTAGTTTCTGAAGTGAAATGTTCTTATTGAATGAGACAGCTTAAATTGGTTTACTAGTGGTGGTATTGGTCCAAAGATATTCAGCAACTCTCTCTTATAAATACCATATAATAATTTAACTAAGGAAGAAATTTTACCTAACAAATACAAGAGTATCATAAGTCCATGTTCAATTTGATTTTTATTTTAGTTTCTATGAATATTTATATAGTACTTAGAACTCGAGTTTATTTTTGACACACTGCCTTTTAAAACATAATTTATCATCTTAGTCTTTCGTCTAAGTATTAACTCCAAGTAATTAATAGTGGATTAATTTAGCATTTTTAATGAATGAATATTCTGTATAAGTTACATTTTAAAAACGAATTTCAAGAAACCAAACTTTATTTAAAAATTTTGAACAAAATCTCTCTGAAAAGAATTATATTTTTGTGCCTAAATTAATGCTAATCAGAATTGTCCATTTTCATAATGACCTAATGATTATGTTTACATGTAAAAGACTATTCCTCCATTAAATGGCTTGACTCCTGTGGGAGATTCCTCTGTGTCACTCTGCTGACTTTAGGAGACATCTTTTTCTTCTCTGTTCCAGTTTGCACTGAAAATTTAGTATACCAAATGACACACTAGTAATAAAACAAATCATTTGTGTGTGGGGAGGGGGGTGTCTTTTTCAAATGATTATTAGTTGGATATCTTGTGTAAATACGCCAACATTGTACTTTAGAATGTAGTCACATGAAAGGAATATATTTGTTGATGAAAATGGAAGTGAGATTCTCATGATAGGTATTGCTGGACCAGTTGATGCAAGAATACCTTCCTCAATGTGGCCATGCCATTTTTCTATGTGACTTAAAAAGTGGTGTCCTCATAAGGGGGAGTTCCAAAGGAGAGCAGTGTAGCCTTAGGTTAATTTAGCTTGTTTCAAACCCTAAAGCAGAATTGTGAAAAGCCTCGACTGTAGCATCTTGCCTAACTGGGAACCTGTGGGGCCCTTTTCTGTCCCTCAGCATTACCTTGAATCTGCCTACCAGCTGGCTTTATTGAAAGTATGTGATCAAAGAGAAGCGAGTGCTGAAGCTCAAGAGAGCTTGTGCTACTGTTGGTTTTGGTCTTTTGAGAGCATTGGCAGAAGAGGATAGGAGGGAGGAGGGGGGACATCTTTATTCTCCTAGCTCCCCGCCTCCAAGGTCACCTCAGAATGACTACATTCTTCACACCTCATCTCTTGTCAGGGCTTACCAAAGAGCCCTCTCTGTCTCTGGGTTTAAGCATCCTTCTCGCTCCCTTACCTCTTTAAGTCTACAGGTGATAATTAAGCCTCAGTTGTTCATGGATTTTCATTTTACACTGTATACCTTTGTAAATAGTTCCATTATTATTAAACTCTTAAAATCACTCAGTTTGATGTGCCATCTGTTTCTTCCAGACCTGACCAATACAGTATTTATTTTATAGGTGAGGAAACTAAGGGTTGAGAGGTTAAATAATTTGTGTCTAAGGTTACTCAGTTAGCTAATAGCTGAGTTAGGATTCCAACCCAGGTAGTCTGGGTCCAGAGCCCATGTTCTTAATTACCACTTTATAGCTGGAAATTAATACCTCAGGAACTACCATTGCTCAATAAGTAATCGGACTCAAAGAAATAAGTAATATTTAATCCTTATAAGTGAGTGTAGACATAGTTGCCACTTCACATTATCTTTTTATAATCTTTAAATCTAACATCCTTTTATAAATAGGAACCCTTTTTTGTTTGTTTGTTTACCTCCTTTGATTTCTCCTCTCTGCATCTTAAATTTACTCATTATGCTAATGCGATTTTAGGCTAAAACTACCTGTGTGACATAATTCGGATAAAATTTAGAAAAAAATGTTTAAAGGTGAAAAATGAAATCATTTAAATAGTTTTTATTTATGCTTGTATTAATGTATTTCACTGAGTGATAGGATATGCAGATAGTTATGGTCTCTTTAATATAAAACACTCTTTAGTATACTCTAATAAATCTGAAAAGTTATGAGAAAATCAGAGTACTGGTAACAATTGGATTGGATACACAGTAGTAAGCAAATGTAATTTTGAAAAACAATACTTTTTTGAGATCCTAAGGAAAGCCTAGAAGGTCTTACAGGAAGAAAATATATGAAGTAGCAACAGAGCCTAGGTACACTATAAAAGCTTCTTTAAGCATTGGCCATACTGCTGCAGTTACTATAGTACTTAAAAAGGGTTTACCATGCACTTATTAATGGGAGGGGGGAACTAAGACATAGAGAGGAGAATGAATAATTTACACAAGGTCACAAAGCTAATGAGTGGTAGAGCTGGATTTAAACCCTGACATCTGTTTCCAGACTGCATTACGTTCTTGACCACTTTTTTGAACTGACTGACTGATGAAATGGGGCGGACTAGCAGTGTGGGTTTTCTGGGACTGAGGCATACAATCGAAAATGAAAATACCATAAATCATAGAAACTAGAAAGTTTGTAATAAAGAACTATCTGGAAGTAATACATAGGAAGCTTCTGCTTGACCAAAGCAAAAAATGAGAGTACAACAGATAATTCAGAAGTATTGTTTAAAATGATTAAAAGGCAAACAAAAGCATTGCTTCCCCATTTCCTACTCTACTTTCAATATTTAAGATTCTCTGGACTTTTTAATATGTTATTCTTCTTCTGTTTACATAACTTAAACAATTATTAGTTCCCTGTATTAGTTTCCTAGGGCTGCCATATCAAAGGGTCACAAAATGGCTGTGTTTAAACCGGAAACTTATCTCACGTTTTTGGAAGCTAGAAGCCCGGAATCCAGCCATGCCCCTTTCCTTGTGGGATAGAATCCTTCCTTGCCTCTTCTAGAGTCGGGTGTTCTCCAGCAATCCTCGGCATCCTTTGGCTTGTTAGATGACTCCTGTTTCTGCCTTTGTAGTCGTATAGCTGTCTTCTCTCTGTGGATCTCTGTCTTCATATGATGGTCTTTTTTTCAAGTGAGGAAACCAGTTATATTGGATTAAGAGTCTGCCCTACTGCCCTGTATGACCTCAGCTTAACAAATTTCATCTGTAAAAACCTTATTTTCAAATAAGGTCACATTATGAGGTACTGTGGATTAGGACATCAATATATCTTCGTGGATGGTGCAATCAACCCATAACATTGCCTGTTAGAAATTACAAGAGAATTACAGAATTTAATCTCCCTTATTTTCTAAAAAAGGGAACATTAAGTTTTCTAACTCTGGTCAAATGAGATTTCTTTTTTTAAAAGACATTCATTGAATATCTTTCTCACTTATAGATGAGAAGATATATAGAAGAGTGAGGTTAATCTCCTACAGTGTTTTGGGGAAGCTTGAGAATATTTGTCAAATCTGGTAAATTAACCTCCCTCTATTTTAATCACAATAATCACATAATTCATTGACATCTTGAAGTTGTATGTCTGTATACCTGAAATCAGACATTAATTACAAATAATAGCAGACGTGTAAGAAGTTAAAAAAAGTTTTAGTTAGAAATACCAAGATAGTTAGAAGAGATTAAATAATTGTTATGCTTTAAGCATTGTTCTCATATATGCCATCTTTAAGCTTGTCACAGACACAACTCTCCCCCACTTCTCCCTACTTTTCTTCCTTTCTCTCTATATGTATATATTATATATTTAAACTAAAAATAAGTTTAAAATCGTTAAAGTATATAACATAAAAATATATTTTATCTGTTATATATAATAAATTATAATTTTAACTAATGCTTTTTAAACCTAAATTTTAATATATAAATATGTGTGCTTTATTATATAATAAACTTATATTTACATATAATAAAGTTAAATAATATAAATACCAATATATAAATAATACATAAATATATATTTTATATAATATAATTTAACTTTGGTGCTTTTAAACTTAATTTAAATATCAGCAATTTATTAGGGAATTATACTTTTTAATATGTACTTTTAAATGATGATGCTATAATCATACCTTAGTCTTACATTCTCAGAACAAAATTTTATGGTTAGTATGTGAAAAAAATAGACTTATAATAGAACTTTGTATTTATATTGATTTTAGGCAAGCAGTTCTTTATAGAAGAAATCCCTGTATCTGTAACATTGCAAGTAAGACATGGTTAAATTACAGGGTGAGAGTTTTCTTCCTAGATTCTGAATGAGAGCATCATTTTCATAATTAGAATTTAAAAATTGATCCTGCTTTGCTTTTTATCTTGGTTGCTAAAAAGCTCAGAGCCAGATCCAAAGCTCCTAGTACAACATTTACGAGTACAATTGCACTTTATTTTTCTTCACACTGATGTCTTAATTTTTTATTTGTTTCTTATTTTATTCTGTGTGTTAGTGTGAAGAGCCTCAAATTCTTGGTCTTAAGTAGAATATAAATACTGACAGAGGTGATTAAACATAATTTATAGGCAGTAATTGGCACCCATCGTATTTATGAGATTAAATGAAGCAGCACAATATACAGTTCTTTAAAAGTCAATATTTTCTTCTAAAATATACAATATATATGTTGTATGAAATAAATATAAATGTTCATATTTATTCGCCTGTATGTTTATCCTCCTCAAACTTCATATGTCTTACCTATGTATTACCAGACAACATTGCTACATATTTTCAATCACACAGGGACAAAAACTCAGTGAAGCCAAGGCAATATGGGAAATGGAGAGTTTGGAGTTGCTATTAGTTTATGGTAATGACTTATAATAATATTATACAAATCATATTTTACAATATTTAATTATATTGTACAATAAAAGAGGACCATAAGTCAACCTTTTTGGATCGCTTGTCCTGGTGATGCTTTGCTTTTGCACGCTTGAACATTTGAGGCAATAATTGAGGCTAATAGACAGATGTTTATACTTCTATATTTTTAAGGACCTTTTCACCCCTAGTTACCAAAACAAAATTACACAAAGAAGTTTCAAAAAGCATTCAAACGAGTTTCAAAATGACAGCATTGAGCATCAGAATCTATAAATAGCAGTCAAAAGCAACTACCTAGAGATACTGATACTTAATGTACATGTATGTAAGTTATAATGAGGTCGGATTAGGATTTCTCTGAACAATTTTGATCTTTTAAAAAAGAAATATACTCTTTTGTGCTATACTTCAAGCATTTGCTAAGCTATGTATTCTTTTTAACAGGATTATATTGACTAATCGAGATTCCCATAGATACTGAGTTGTACAGATTGAGACTTTGAGGGAACCTCAGAGATCATGTTGTTCACTGAGATATATATTCATTTAAGCAAGGCATTTGACAATGTACCGAGATAATAGTTTTGGTGAATAATACAGTTACATAGTAGGTAATGCTGTCAGCTTTATAAACATAATTTCTTGATAGCTTTGTGCCTACTTTCGGGAGACCTTTTGATGGCTCTGCATTGGCTTTTTTTTCCCTTCACATATTTATCAATTATTTAGAAGAATACTTGAAAGGGAAGGTGTATGGTCAAGCTTGCTAGTTCAAGTGTTGACAACATGGTTTTGCATCTCAGCTTCACCTTATTCTTGGGTGAGTTAGAGAAATTGGCTAAGTGTATGTTTCCTTAAAAATGAGGTAGTAGTATATACTTAATATGAGTGATTTGAAATTAAATGGCCCATATAATACACTTAAATATAACAAGTATTCATAAATATTCATTAATATTATTAGTGTCTCTTATTCAATTATGTATGCAAAATGAATTTATATATGATATAAAGCTCTTAGATATGGCAACTACTAGAGACAGCAAGATAAGTGTAAAATTATTAATTTGCATCATAAAGTGAAAAGATTGAGAACTTTGTTAATATATATTAATGATTGAACAGTGTTTTTCAACTGTTAAAACATAATTCCATTTTTGGTTTTTAAAAAGTATAAATCATAGTATATTAAATATAGTTGTTGTACAGTATTCTGCACTGGTCTGTTCTTCTTTCCAAAAATATCTGTTGAATTTCTGCCCAAGTGCTAGGGATTCAGCCCTACATTTTAGGGAGGGGTATGTGAAGTTTAGAAAGTAAGTGTAAAAATTCTTTCCTCATATAGGTTTAAGGAATTAGATCCATTTATTAGAGTAGAAAGTGTTATGATAAAATTTGATAGCTTTTTTCAGTATCTAAAAGGCTATGGTATTTGAAGAGGAGGCTGACTGACTTATTTCAAAAGACAAATCGGTGTTAGGTACCTATTAGTAACTAAGTGTCTAATTTTAGCTCAAAACTCTGAAGAACCTTACTGTTATGAAAACTATTCTACAAGACAGTGTGCAGTTACTCATAATTTATTAAATGCCTCTGTGGAGGTGTTTAAAACAAAGAATAAAAGACATCTGCCTAGTCTTTCTACATTGTATGTAATATTGAACTTTGGGGGGGAACTATGACTTCTGAGGAGTCTGTGAATTTGGATATAAAACATTTTAAGTGAAATCTAACTTTTTTTTTCAATTAACACTACAAGCAGCAAACTATAGAGTAGCACCAGGCATACCTGTGACTTTGTCCCCAATAGAACTCACAGATATTGTCAGGTCTCTTTAGCACTGTTGTTGATGTCACAAAATGTTGTTTTATAGCCATCTATTGTACTTGAAAATTATAATTACCAGAGTCACCAGTAGATCTTGTTATTTAATGTATTAATAAGGAAACATATATTACTATATATCTCCAGTTAAATAATATAATTTTTAATGTGTTTCAGCATAACTTTATAAACCTATATTTTAAGTATTCAAAAAAACATTTTGGGAAGGCATGACAGAATGGCCTATGACACCAGAAAAGTTAAGAACCTGTGAGCTAACTAATTAATATTGGATTGTCGGAAAAGTTATGATGTATTTTTTCTATGTTTTTTGTTGCAAAAATGTGTCATGACTTTTCTGACAACCCAATACTTTGTAAAATGATACTGATAAATTCTTGAGATTTTAAAAGGCTCTTACAGTGAATGAGTTGTGCTCAATTCCTAGGTATCACAGACAAGTACTCCACTTTTTGTCTGCTCCCAACACTGAGGGATATATTAAATGGTCTTATTAGGACCAGTGGTTTAATTCAGGAGCAACTGAATGCGCGTCTGCGTGTATGCACACGCGCATGTGTGTGTTATGTGTATGTGTGGTGTTGGGGATACAGGAAATGTCGTTTTCAACATTTTCCAAATATGTGATTCATATATATATCCCCTATTTAAAAAATAATTAAAAATGTAAGTGTAAGCTATGTTAAAGATCTTTACTGAATGTGAAAACAGTGCCATTCTTACCTATATTTTTTACATAAGATATTTTGGGCTGACCTCCAGAATGTGATGAGAAGGAAGAATACTAATTGAGGAAAGCTGCTCATTTGGCTTTAATGATGTGCTTATTTTTATTCAGTTTTCTAAAGTGCCATTATTTATTTTTTTAAAGAATCCTGATGTAGTCCACCCAAAAGAAGCAACTCCCTCATCTACTTTTACTGGTATTCGACCTGCACGAGTTGTATCTTCAACTTCTGAGGAGGAAGAAGCATTTACAGAGAAATTTCTAAAAATTAATTGCAAATATATTACCAGTGGCAAGGTAATATTACCTTAGAGAAAACTTTTAATCATGCTTTTTTACATTACTAAAATATGACAGTATTGCATTTACTATTTGAGTCACCAACATCAGCACATGCTCGAATATTTTTTTAAAATATTGTTGGAATTACTAGTTTGAGTCAGCCTGGATTTTGCTTATAACTAACAATCTGGTTGTCTTGCAAATTGTTAAAGACAATAGGAGATAAATAGATTTACTACAATAAGGTACAGTTAATTTGCTGTTGGTAGAATATTTCTAAAAGCACTTCTGAGCACTCTTTGGAGTTCTAACTCTTGCAAATTTAATATAACACAAATTTGAAGATAACTGCTATTTATTGAGTAACTACTATATGCCAGAAACTGTGTTTTTGGTGATTTATTTTATCAACTCAAAATAATTCTGTGCAATAGGTGGTCCTATTCCCTCTTCACAAGGTTAATAAGTCCAAGGTTTCTTTACCATGGCCCAAGTTCAAACCCAATTTGAATCTATGTTTTATATACAACACCTTGCTGTACTAAATAAAATATTCTATTCTGCAAAAGGAATATAGTCAAGTAATACAGTTAGAATATAAACTCCAGGTATAACTTAGAAAGTAACTGTAACATGGTTCCAACTTAAAGTCAGAATTATGACTATTTTATAGTCATAACTCATAAATTATGAGTATTTGAAATACGGTGTTTTAGTGCTATAAAATTCCCCCTACATATTACTTTAACTGCATCCACAATGTTGATACATTGTAGTTTTATTTCAATTTAGTTTGGAATACTTTCTCTTTCTTCTTTGGCCCATTGAATATTTAGGAGTGTTTTAGTTTCTAAATATTTGGGGATTTCTCTAAATATCTTTTGTTACTGATTTCTAATATTATTCCATGTGGTTGGAGAACACATTACTTTTTGAAGGCTTAATTTAAGACTTATGGTCCAGAATGTGGTATATCTTGATAAATGTTACATGTGCACTTGAAAAGGATGTGTATTCTGCTGTTATGAGAGGACTAGTCTATAAATGTCAATTCAAGTTGAGTGATAGTGTCCTTCTGTGTCCCTACTGATTTTCTATTTGTTCCATCAATTATTGACAGAAGGATGTTGAAATACCTCACTATAAATGTGTATTTGTCTATTTCTTCTTTCATTTCTTTCAGTTTTTGTTTTGTGTATTTTGAAACTCTGCCATTAGGTATAAAAAGATTCTTCATTGTCTTGATGAATTGACTTGTTTCATTATGAAAGACCCTCTATTTTCAGTAGTATTCTTTGCGATGAAATCTATTTTAATGTATGCTTACAGTCACTTCAGATTCCTTTTGATCAGTGTTAACATGGTTTACCTTTTTTCATTGTTTTACTTTTGGCCTATGTCTTTATAGTTAAAATGGGTTTCTATACCTTACATTAGAATTCACTGTTTATACAGCCTGTGGGCTTTGACAAATGTATAATGACATGTATCCACCATTATAGTATCATATCGAATAGTTTCATTGCCCTAATCAGTGCTCTGCCTCTTCATCCATTTCTCCTGCTGAACCCCTGGAAACGACTGATCTTTTTACTGTCTGAATAGTTTTGCTTTTTTCAGTGTTCATGTAGTTAGAATTCTACAGTATGATTGTATGATTTCAAATTGGCTTCCTTCACTTAGCAATATTCATTTAAGAGTCCTCCATGTCTTTCATGGCTTGACAGCTCATTTCTTTTTATTGCTGAATAATAATTCACTGTAGATGAACGATAGTTTATGCATTCACCAACTGAAGGGCAACTAGGTTGCTTCCAAGTTTGGGGCACTTAAGAATACAGCTGCTATAAACATTCATGTACAGGTTTTGTGTAAATGTAAGTTTCTACCCCATTTGGGTAAATACTAAGGAGTGCAGCAGCTAGATCTAGATCAATGGTAAGAGTATGTTTAGCTTTGTAAGAAACTACCAAAATGTCTTCCAAAGTGGATGTATCATTTTGTGTTCTTACCAGCAGTCAATGAGCTGTTGTTGCTCTACATTCTCACCAGCATTCATTGTCAGTGTTGTAAATTTTAGCTGTGCTAATTGTTCTTTAGTAGTAACTCATCGTTTTAATTTGCATTTCCAATGACTTATGATATTGAGCATATTTTCATAAGCTTATTTTCTATCCTGTATCTTTTGCATTTTCTTTGTATTTGAAAGATCTTTTCACTGAGCATATAATTTTAGGTTGACAGGGTTTTCGTTTCCTTCAGAATTTTAAAGATGTTTCTTTCAGAACTTCACTGTTTTCTGGTTTGCACTGTTTCTGAAGAGACATCATCTATTATTTTTTTATTTGGTGCCCTGTACAAAATATATTTTTTCTTTGGTTGCATTTAAGATGGTCTCCTTATCACTCTTTTTGAGTAATTTGATTATGAGTATGATATGCTTTGATGTATTTTTCTTTTTTTTTTGCTTTTGCTTTAGGTTCATTTGTGGATGTATAGTTTTCATCAAATTTGTAAACTTTTTGGCCATATTTCTTCAAATTTCTTTTTCTCTTCCATTCTCTTTTCTTCTTTGGGAAATCTATGCATGTTTTGGGCTGCTTGGCGTGTGTCTCATAGCTCACTGGTACTTTGATTTTTGGGGGGCTTTTTCTGCTCGTTTTGTTTGGACAATTACTAATCATTACATCTTTATGGTCACTAATGTTTTTCTGCCATGTCTAATCTGCTATTCTATCCAGTGTATTTTTCATCTCTGTAAGTTCAAACTGGGTCTCTTGTATCTTCATGAACCCTACTTAACCATGCACACTGTTTGTTCTATATTCTTGAATATGTGGGATATATATTAAGGCCTTTTTTACATTGTATATACTCTACTCTTGATTATTTTTTGCATTATCCCTGGCAATGTAAATGTTCCTAAAGCATACTTCACCATCTCTCATTGGCTTGAGTTGGCATGTGATCCAGGAATGCAAACTGATGTATTTGAATCTATTTAAAATATTGATCAAAAGATGATTAGGCTATGGTTTATATTGAAGTTACGCCTTATTTAGGTGGTCCATGGTTTGCCTGAACTTAAAGAAATGCTATTCAGAATTTCAGATTGATTCCTTTTTTCCATCAATATGCATGCATACATATTTTTCTCTCATATTGCATGTAGTTGCTGTAAAAGATAAGCAAGTTTTATTATCTTGAAAATCTGCAATAGCTTTTTTCCAACTTGTGATTGATTGGGTGACCATTTCGGTAGGATTTTCTTTTTTTACTTGATTATTTTTACAGGTAGTGTCTGTCATAACTTAAGTTTTATGTTCTTAAAGTTAAACAAGGTAAATTCACAGAGTTGAATATGGACTTGGAAGGAAGGTGTGATACCAAATCAAACAGGATTTAAGTTCTTCTTTTCCTTAATAGTTTCAGAAAAAGATAAGACAACTCTGAAGTTACTATTTGGTTTATTTTTAGAATTCTGTCTGGCTTTTCATTGTTAACACTTAAAGAATATAGCGGAATGGAAAAAAATGAATTAAGGACTATTTGGCACTTGAGTTGGAGTGATTATATAGTTTGTTACTTGAATGTGGAGGGATTATAGTTAAAAGCACAAATTGCCTGGAGTTTTAATCTTGGTTCTACCACTTATTAATTAGCTATGTTATTTATTATTTAGGACAAGTTGCCGAGTCTTTTTCATCCTTAATTACCTCATCTGTATACTCATCTCAGAGCTGATTGTGATGATCAAATGAACAATGATGAATATAAAGCATGCTACATAACAAAGCATTCAATAAATCAGCTAATATTAGCGGGGTTGGCTTCCAATGGACTTTAGTTTGCTCGTTTGTAAAATAAGAGGGATGGCCTCTTCATATTTGTATCACTATTTGTATAAACCAATTTAAATTTTATAGTTTTTCATGATTAAATTAAAAATAATTGCTGTGTACCTTAGAGATCATCTAATCTAACTAATTTTATAGATTAAGAACTGAGGCCTCGAGGCTTTGCTTGCTCAAGTTCACATCGCTAGCTAGTAGCAGAGTCAAGTGAAACAGATATTTCAGAAGATACTTTAAAGAAATTATACTATTTCCCTTTTATAATGGATTGAATTATAAACATTATTTATTACAAACCTGGTTTATATACATAAAACTGTATTTAATACCTGTAGTGAGGGAACAACACAGGAAGCAGTACACAAATTAATGTAAAACGTGGCTCATGCTTTGCAGGACTTTTCAATTCCTTCTTACGTTACTGAAGTTAACACTGCTGATATAACTCAGTATTTTACTGAGGCTGCAAATTTTAATACCTGACCTGATTGTTTGAGGGTAAATGTAATATTCTTTGTATTTTGGCTCTCCTAAAGAGGAGAATTTACTGGGAAAATTTGGGCTTTATTAAAAATGTTTTCATGAGAATACCTTAGTGTTTGAATATATAGTAGATGGCCTAAGATCAGAAGAATATTAGTAAAAAATAGCTGCAATACTTTTTGAAAATGAAAACTTTAAAGATTAAACATTATTTTCTTTTTCTATCTTAGGGCACAGTCAGTGGTGTGCTGCTAGTTACACCAAATAATATAATGTTTGATCCACATAAAAGTGACCCCTTGGTTCAAGAGAATGGCTGTGAGGAATATGGGATCATGTGTCCAATGGAAGAGGTGATGTCAGCTGCAATGTACACAGAAATTTTGGATAGCAAAATAAAGGAATCCTTACCCATGTAAGAGTGGTATTTATACTCCTTTGCATTTTTAATGCATCTGGATAGTTGACCCTAGTCTAATACTCTTAAGTACTTTTAGTTAGTTTTATTATAGCTGCTTTTCATTTTCTCCATAATGAAACAAAAATATATGTAGTATTGAAAAGATTATTCTTAATGCACCTAGAATAGTTAGGAGTTGTTTTAGGTTTGTAATTGTATATTTGGTTAAAGAACCAAATATTTCAAAGTGACCTATAGTACTCATTTAATACACTGTTTACCAGTTCTTTGTATTCAGACATAGCATTTGGAATTCTGAATTATTTATATGAGTAATTTAAGGTACATTAACTAATCAAGGGTGGCTTTCAAATTTTCCTTAGAAGAGCCTGAACAGTCAGGCGTGGGATTTGGGGAGACCACATGAGCAAATGACTATAGCCAGAGCAGCTTTGTTTTTTATTTATTGATTCATGTTTGCATTCTTCTCTCTTAGAAGTAAAGTATAGGGGGAGAATACTCCCAAATTGCATAAATATTAAGGGTTAACTTTGGAATATACTGGTCAGGGGTTGTGTGGTTATCTGATTGTGATGCAGATAACATAGGTGCGAGGCTACCAGTCAGTACCACAGAGAGAATGACAGAAAGAAATGGCCACAGGGAGAAAAGGGAGGAATAAGAAATAAAAGGAGAAGCTAAAAGGTAGGTATACAAAGAATTGGGAAGGAAAGTAGAAAGGAAGAAAATTGATAGGTAATAGACAAGAACTCTCCCATTCCTCCATATGTGACTGTCAACAGTTTATACGCTGGCTTCCCTGTAACTGATACTGAGGTTTATATCTCTGAATTAGTCCACAGGGATGATGAAGGCTGTTTTAAAATTAACCCTTGTGGGACAGAACTACTTATAAAGGAGAAGGAGAGCACATTATTTTTGTTTCTGAGCCAGACTACATCAGTTGTTCGGATACGTGTGGTGAATAAAATTCCTTATTCAAAAAGTCTTCATTTTACCTCCCACTCAGTAGATACTATTTTGGCTTGGTAAACTCATCTTTAGAGGTGCAGGTAATTCCTAGGATTTCCTCTAGTGTCAGTTATTTTTATAGATACCATTGAAAGTCAGTTTCAGCAAATACCAACTATTGAAGTTGGTGGAGGGATGAGACAAAGATGGAGTGAAGGTTAGATTAAATGAGAAACAAGATTATATATGTATGTATATATTGTCAGTCATTGGTGAGATTAACTTTCCGTTTCCCTGCTTTTCCATTTATATTATGATACTTTCGGCTTCTTTTATGCTAAATGATCTTTAATTATTCTACAAAGATGCTGTAGGGCTCCTTCTCTTACAGTTCACAGTTTTGTCATTCAGAGCATCACCTGGAAAGACCATACATTTGATTCAAACATTTAAAAAAATTTCTGCAGAAAGAAATATCTTTCAACCCTCTCATATGAATTTATTTAAAAATATTTGCAACAGATCATAAATCAAGTGGTTTTTTTTTCAGAGTAATGTCATGTATGGCAAAAATTAGGTGTGAGATTTGATTTTTTTTTTCCTGACTTAAATTGCTTGGGAAGTTGATTTTAAAGGTGTTCTGGAATGATATTGAGCAGTAGCAGCATCATTGGCATAAATAAATATTTAGTCTTTCAGCATATTAACTCTGAAGTTTACAGTTATCTAAATATATATCCTGTTAGGTTTGTTAACTTGATCTAAGACCTAAGGGTCTTACTAAATGTACAGGATACAGTTTCTCAAAACTTTTGCCATGTTCCAAGATCCTATATATGCTGCAGTTTGAGGGGATCACCAGTAGATGGCACTATTACATATTTATTATAATAGAACAGGTTAGATGATTGTGTTTCTTAAGGAATGCAGCAGAGGCAGATATATGAATTGGACTTCATCTAATGAATTGGATTTCATGTAGCTTAATACTTTTTTAAAAATAAATTTTCCTATCCTATTTATAAAAATTATGCATATTCATTATAGAAAATTGGAAAAATACCAAAAGGTAGATTAAAAGGGAAGGAATTACTCAGTTTCACCATCCAGAGACAGCCAATTATTTTTGCCTTGATTTAATTATCAGTCTTTTTTATTTTCAAATTTGCATAAACATTAATAGTTTTTCTGCTAAGAACTCATACAATTTCCATTTATCACAAACTGTTTTTAACTGTCATTTTAAATTGCTGACTTATATTTCATGCCATAAATGTTTGCACTACTTCTTTCGAGAACTTAAACTATCTAACTTTTGAACATTACTGCTTATATATATCAATGCCATTGAACATGGGAATCTATATGTAATTACAAATCGTTCAACAATCTGATATCTAAACCCTTTAGCTGAACATGTTTTCTTAGAAATGTTGTTAAGAGCTGTTGTTGGTAGCCTGAAGAATTCCTGTAAGTAGTTTTGTCTCAGTTCTATTTAGGTTGGTTTTCGGCTTTGCATTTGAGCCATATGTTTTAGTTTAATATCTATTTAAATTTAAATAAGCACAATGTGTGTATGCACGACTGTGTAATATCAGTGTATTACTTTATTAAGACATTTACATTTTAATCAAAAATGTATCTAAGCTCATTTTATGTATTTTATCAATGAATAAATTTTAGTTTAGAATTATAGTGTTACCCAAAACTTACATCATCAGCTTCTCCTCAGGTAGATTAATTCAGGAAATCACACATTGATGTTTCCCAGATACTAAGTAATTAATGCAAAAGCTTGACTATTATTTGGTCTATATGAATAAATAAAAATTTTGATATACTGTTAAGAGATGTATGCTACATCCTTTTGAAAATCCTTTTTAGTAGTATTAATTCAGTGTTAAGCTTGTGGAAAATAAAGAACTATAATTTAAAAAGTCTAATAACTTTTGTTTACTGACAGAGAGATAGATCACTTATCAGGAAGGGACCTCTGCCATTTAAAGAAAATTACAAGAGGTAACACTGATGAAATAGACTCAAGAATCCGCGATGCCGGTAATGATAGTGCCAGCACTGCTCCTAGGAGCACTGAGGAGTCTCTTTCTGAAGACGTGTTTACAGAATCAGAACTCTCTCCTATACGGGAGGAGCTTGTCTCTTCAGATGAGCTGCGACAAGATAAATCATCTGGTGCGTCATCAGAGTCTGTGCAAACTGTCAATCACAGTGGAGTAGAATGTTCTACAGCCGTATCAGAGTCTACTAGTTCATCTGATCCATTAAAACCTGATTCTGGACATCCTACAAATGAAGTTGGGGCCCTTTCTCTTAAAACTGATTTAAATAATCTTGAAACAGCCACTAAAGAAAGTGATCAGGCTACAGATAAATTTCAAGAATCATCAGGCCCTAAAGAAGAAAGCGTAAGTGTAAAAAGTCACGAAGACCAGAATTTTCTTCTCAGTGAGAATTCACTACACCAAGAACAGGATGAAAAAGAAAGTGTGCCTTGTGGGGAAGCAACAGAATTTAAGCAGCAGCACGCTGTCAAAAAAGGAAAAAAAGGAAAGGAGCACAATCAGGTTGCAGAGACAGAGGTAGAAGAGCTACGGAAACTCTGGAAAACACACACTATGCAGCAGACTAAACAGCAGAGGGAAAACATCCAACAGGTGTCACAGAAAGACATTAAGCATAAAATAGCAGCTGGTGATCTAGAAGGTAAGTGTTAAAGAGTATATGAAGTTCATCTCATTGCATCTTGTCTTCTCTTTCCTCACTGACTCAAAAGCCGCTGAGTCGTAGACTCTGAAGGAGAATCTGGTGGCTCTTGACTGATGTTTCTCTGGGGACAAGTATGTAGCCTCTGGTTTCTAGTCTTGTGTTGTCTTATCCCATGGTGAATTATATACATAATTAGCATCTTTTCCACCATGTTTAAACATTCCTGACTCACCACAGTCTATCAACAGTTTATTTCTTGAAAATGCATACAAGCTCTGTAATACGTTTGATTTCTCCATTTTCTTTTTTAGTTCTTGGTATGTTACCTCATTAAGATGTCTTCTTACCATTGCATATATAATATCCTAATTGCAGTTATAATTGCCAAAGTTGTAATCCCATCTTTTTTACAATTATACATAAAAATCTATTTTTTTAATTTAAGTATCGAAAAGTTCCATCATTGTCTGATTAAATGTTTTCCTTTAAAAAGCAGCACTAAAGATAAATCAAAACACCATTTTCTCATTCAATGTTTCTTGGTACTGTTTACTTATAAAAATTAAAGTAATAGTCTTATGGTTTATTTCTAATATACACTGCTTCTGCTTCTTAGTACATTATGTCTTAAATGGTGTGTAGCTCAGGTATCTTAGCTAACATTTTTTATATTCATATCGGAATATTGATTCCAGATTAGTCCAATTTATATCGTATGAGCTTTTCTTTCTTTTTTTTTAACTTTGAAATTTTTTATTATTAAATATATATAAAATAAACTATACGATTTTAGCCATTTTTAAATGTAAAATTCAGTGGCATTAACTATATACACATTGTTGTGCAACTAGCACCACCATCCATTTCCAGAACTTTTTCATCTTCCTGAACTGAAACTCTGTACCCATTAAACAATAATCCCCACTCTCCCCTCCCCCTGGCCCTGGGCAACCACCATTCTACTTTTTGTCTATATGAATTTTTGTCTCTAGATACCTCATATAAGTGTAATCATATTATATTTGCCCTTTTGTGTGTACCTTATTTCCCTTAGCATAATGCCTTCAAGTTTCATCTATGTTGTGGCATATGTCAGAATTTCCTTCCTTTTTAAAGCTTAATAATATTCCATTATATATGCCACATTTTCTTTTTTTTTTTTTTTTGTAGCTGAGCCATCCTGCCACCTGTTGGCAGCTCAGCAGCTGCTCAGCTCGGGCCAGGACTCAAACCGCTGTTGCTCAGAGCTCAAACTCTTGAGCGAGCTCTTAACCAACTGAGCCACTCGGCCGGCCCCCTATGCCACATTTTCTTTACCTGTTCATTCCTTGATGGAAATATAAGTTATTTCAGCCTTTTGTCTATTGTGAGTAATGCTGCTGTGAATATTGGAGTACAAATATCTGAGTCCCTCCTTACAATTTTGTTTTTTAGAATATGTACCCAGAGGTGGATTTGCTAGATTCTGTGGTAATTTTATGTTTAAGTTTTTGAGGAACTGCCAAACTATTTTTCCACCGTGGCTGCACCATTTTATATTTCTACCAGCAGTGCACAAGGGTTTGGTCTAGTTTTTAAAATACTGAGTTTTCTTTCCATCATATTATTCAGGCACTCCGAAGACCTGAGGATTATATTCAGTAGATGTTAAGGAATTCATTTACTCAAAACAAGTTCTATAAGACTGAATAGTTCTCCTTTTGTAATTTTTTTCTTTATTAATTAGAACTAATGAATGTTCATTAGCAATCACTTGACAAAAATATAGGAGGATTTTAGAAAATTTATAAAAATTACCCGGAATTCATCACCTAGAGATAATCATTGTTAACATTTGGTATATTTATCTTTGATCTTTGGTATATATGTGTATTTGTGTATGTTCACATATACATATATACAATTTTGATATTATATGTATCTATACATATGTATTTTTATATAAAATCAGGATTATTCTGGATATAATGTTGTAATTTCCTTTTTTCACTTAATAGTTTATGTCATTGAACATTTTCCTATGTTATTGTAGTTCTTTGAAAACATGGTTTTTAATGGTCTGTAATTTAACCAATTTCATGTTAAAACATTCAGTTGTTACTAACAATTCATGTTGTTAAGATATTTTCTGTGTTGAAGTTGTAAAGAATGCTGACATGAATATCTTTATTTGATATGGTTGTATCTGATGATTGCCTTATGTTTAGAATCTTTGAAAAAGATAAAATAAGGGGTTCTGTTTAACCTAATAATATGAGAGACTATTTTGATTGTAGCGGGTTTGTTGTGATGCAGGGTTTGATGGGAGGAGACTCTATTATGACAAAATACTAAAAGGATAAAAGTTGGCAGATATGTTTAGATTAGGTATCCCAGGATTACCATTCAGTTTCTTCTTTTTTAAGTTTTTTTAAAGGAGGTTTGGTGGTAACCAATTAAGTTACTAATTTTAAGTAACTTGAGATTTTATACTAGGGAATAATTCAAAATTTATGATCTTTAGTGACTTTATAATAAAACTGCTTAATATAAAACTGGAACATAATATGGGAAGAATTGTAAAGGTTCACTTTTTAACCAGATGCAAATACAGTAATACCTTGGTTTGCGAGCATAATTTGTTCTGGAAGTAAACTACTCATATTGCAAGACATTGCTCGTTTACCAAGTTAAAATGTATTAGAAATGTTTGCTCGTCTTGTGGAACACTCGCAAACCACATTATTCACATTCCAAGGTTTTACTGTACTTGTGTTCAGATTATGTGCCTTCCACTTCCACAGTATTACACAGGAAAAAATCATGACTAGTACCCAGATCTCTTTAAGTATAACTAAGTGCTTTTTCCTCCAAAGTATGCTGCCTTTGAAAGCTAATTAATGACCAGATTCCTGAATTCAACCTTATTATCAGACCCTTAGTGTACCTTATGTCACCATCTCTGGCTGAAAGAGTTAACGATAATTCATGCTTAATAAACTGTCCAAACAGATTGCTGAATCTAGCATATTATTGATTCTTTCATCATACCCTTATTTGTGTTTAAAAGCTTCACAAACTATTTTATTAAATTTCTGTCTGTAACAACCATATTAAAGTAAGCCTTTTAAAATACTACAAACTTATTCAGTTGTTATCCTAAAAGGCAGAAAATTATACATGTATATGGAATTACTTTAGGATGGTTGTTACAAACAAAAATTTAACAAATGAGTTTCTGGAGCTTTCACATTTTTTCCTGATACCTTAGGTATAATTTTAGTTCATAAAGTGGTTGTTAGTTCATTAGTGTTGCTATACCTGTACCTTTGATGGAAAAAAAATACAAGTTACTTAAGAGAATTCACCAATATGAATATTAGTAAATTGAAGTTTTATTCTGTAATTATTTGTCACAAGTTTGGAAGTAAGCATTATTTAATCTAAACTATTTAAGCATGGTGATAAAAATTGAATAAGCACTATTTGCCTCTCAATTCTAGGTTCTGCACTTTTAAAAGAAAAGAGAAGGCATCGATTACATAAGTTTTTATGTCTCAGAGTTGGAAAACCAATGAGGAAAACATTTGTATCTCAAGCAAGTGCAACAATGCAGCAGTATGCACAAAGAGATAAGAAACATGAATATTGGTTTGCTGTGCCACAAGAAAGGTAAAGAATCAAACTACAAAAACTTAAAAACATGATTGAGAGTCTTTGACTTAGAATTATTTTGTCTATCACTTAACACCAATGACAGTACTTTTGAAACAAATAGTTTATGACTAAAAGCTGACATTAAATTTATTTAAAATAATTTAGCTCCTATTTTATACTCCTTAATTTACCCCATTTTTAATATTATTCCCTTTTGTGGTTTAATACAAAAATATGAATATATACCTAGTTTTAATAGTAAGGAAACTTTCTTAAAATGTCTTAGAGCAAGAAGGTTCATCAAAACACTAACTGGTATGGCCCCTACTTCAAGGCAGGTAATGGCGTATAATCCCTTTTTTAAAATCTCTTCAAATACTTAATAAATGCCTGCTATATATAGAGCGCTAAATTTGCTTCTAAAAGGATGTGGTCTTCAAACTATTGTTCGTATCCCCTACACAATAAAATGTTCATTATAAGTTTAAGCAATTGTGAAGGATGTCTGTCATCACTGTATTGTAAATACTGACATCTTAAGTTAAGCTGTTACATTCGTTTTTTAAATATATCCAATAGAATCTAAACATCATAACAATTTGCCCTTTACTATTATCCATTTTAAAAGCTACTTGAATGTGCTCTTCTTTAATAGAATTTACATCATTACCTTTTGTCTTTGAACTTATATTTCCATTATACCACCTCATAGAATCTTATTAAAGGTACTATATTTTTATTCCTTATTATATTTCTTTGTAACAAATTACATACACTTACACATTTATGTGTGTGTGTGTGTGTGTGTGTGTGTGTGTGTGTGTGTGTGTATACATACTGAAATTACGTTTATTTAAAAATTTTCTGTGACTGTTGTCAAAATAGTAAAGGCCCTAAGGCTTACCTTACTTGCAAGCTAGCAAGTTGGTCTGCCTCAGTTTAATGCATGCTAACAGAAAATGCTAGAGTCACAACAATTGCAGTAGTTAGAGTACCAGCATTTGCATGAGTTCTTTGAGCCTGGCTTCCTATAGTGTGATGTGAAGAAGACCAAGTGACAGATGCATATGCCATGGGTGATGTTACAGAAGAGGAACCATAAGTTTAGAGAACCTAAACCTTGTATAATATATGGGAAGCATGGTTGGCTACCCTTGGCTCTAGAGTTGAGATACTTTCTACCTTCTAAGACTACACTATGATGTTTCCTGTGCTGACATACTTGAAAAGATAGAGCTGGACAAAGGTTCTCAATACCTCTACTCACAAGACATGCAGAAATCAAGAAAAAATTGTCTATAAACAACTACATTATTCCAAATGTTAAGTAAACCCGGAAGAAAATTTAATTTTATTGTTAAAATTTTACTAACACATAATGGATTGTAGCAACATAAATTAAAAAATGGGCCCTTCTCCCAGTTAATTTATGTATCCATGAATATTGTTTATTGAAAGAATGAGATGGGATTCAGCCTCTCAGCTCTGTCCCCTCCTTTTCTTCTCTTCCTTTTAAGTACTGAGAAGCTTTGTTCACAAAAAAAGCCTGTGAGGCTATGAAGAGCTTTATTATCATAATGTCACTCAACTCTTTTTTTTTTTTTTTTTTTTTTAGCTGAGCCATCCTGCCACCTGTTGGCAGCTCAGCGGCTGCTCAGCTCAGGCTGACTCGAACCGCTGTTGCTCAGAGCTCTCACTCAACTCTTTAAACAGTTTTCTATTTACATTCCAAAAGTTACTTAATCATATTTCATCAAAATTATTTTTAGTGATCATCAATGAACAACTCCATTAAAAACTCCTTCAGTTTTGTGGAAATCAGTGAATTAGAAACCACCTGATGTGCCAAAGGACCCAGTCTGTAGACTGTTGCCCTGTCTCAATACCAACTTTGGGCAGCCTGGAAGTTTTTATACTTTAAGGCATGTACCATTGTAAAGTTCTGGATGGGTGAGGGTATACCTTTTTCTAATAAAATAGAAAAAGTGCTTTAGTGAAAGCCGAGAACAAGGACTCTGTAAGATACGTTGACCACAGCTTTCAAGCAGATGAGTATGAGAGAGGAGTAACATATGAAGGTAGAAGAAGGTGAAAGAAAGCGATTCCCTTAAGTGTCTGTGTATTTCTTGGAAAGTCTTTGTATGTTGCTCTTAAGACCACTGCTTTCAGGGATATAATGATAAAATTCTTCTCTGTCCCCCTCCCACCCAAATATACAATACACTACAATGTGTGCATTCAACAAAATGTGATTAGACTGATTTAAAAATATGGTGTGATTTTTTTTTTCGTAATTGACGAATACCTGAAAGGCACAGGGCCAAATATTCAGATTCCCAGTCATATCAAGGTGACCACCATGTAAAATTTACAGACATACTTCGGAGATATTGCAGGTTCAGTTCCAGACCACTGCATGTGAAAGTTATGTTACATTATACTGTAGTCTGTTAAGTGTGTAATAACTTGATGTCTAAAAAAGCAATGTACACACCTTAATTAAAAAATGCTAACAGTCTGAGCCTTCAGTGTATCATAATCTTTTGGCTGGTGGAGAACTTGCCTCAGTGCTGAGGGCCTCTGACTGATCAGGATGGTGGTGGTTGGAAGTTGCAGTGACTGTGGCAATTTCTTAAAATAAGGCAACAAAGAAGTTTGCAGCATCAACTGAAAGTTCCTTTCATGAACAATTTCTCTAGCATGCGATTCTTTTTGATAGCGTTTTACCCACAGTAGAACTTCTTTCAAAATGGTAGTCATTCCTCTCAAACACTGCCATTGATTTATCAATTCAGTTTACGTAGTATTCTAAATCCTTTGTTGTCATTTCAACAATCTTCACAGCATCTTCACCAGGAGTAGTTTCCATCTCAAGAAACTACTGCCTTTGCTCATCCATAAGAAGCAACTTCTCATCTGTTGAAGTTTTATCGTGAACTTGTTGCAATATAGTTATATTTTCAGGCTCTAGTTCTGAATCTAGTTCTCTTGCTGTTTCCATGACATCTGCAGTTTCTTCCTCCATTGAAGTCTTGAACTCCTCAAAGTCATTCATGAGAGTTGAAATCAACTTCTTCTAAACTCCTGTTAATGTTGATATTTTGACCTCTTCCATGAATCACAAATATTCTTAATGGCATCTAAAATGGTGAAGTCTTTCCAGAAGGTTTTCAATTTACTTTGCCCAGGTCTGTCGGAGGAATCATTATCAATGGCAGCTACAGCCTTATGAAATGTATTTCTTAAATAATAAGACTTGAAAGTCAAAATTACACCTTGATCTATAGGTTGCAGGATGGATATTGTGTTAACAGGCATGAAAACAACATAAATCTCATTGTACATCTCCATCAGAGCTCTTGGGTGACCAGGTGCATTATCAATGAAAGAATTTTTTTTTTTTTTTTTTTAGCAGTAGGTCTCAACAGTGGGCTTAAAATACTCAGTAAACCATAGTGTAAACAAATGTGCTATCACCCAGGCCTTGTAGTTCCATTAATAAAGCACAGGCATAATAAATTTAGAATAATTCTCTAGGATTTTCAGAATGGTAAATGAACATTGGCTTCAACTTAGTCACCAGCTGCGTTAGTGCCTAAATAGAGATTGTCTGTCCTGTCCTTTGACTCTTTGAAGCCAGGCAGTGACTTCTCCTCTCTAGCTATGAAAGTCCCAGATGGCATCTTCTTCAAGGCTGTTTGGTTTGCACTGAAAATCTGTTGGTTAGTGTAGCCACCTTCATTGTCTTAGCTAGATCTTCTGGATAACTTGCTGCAGCTTCTATGTCAGCACCTTGCATTTTAGGTTATGGAGACAGCTTCCCTCCTTACATCTCATGAACCAACCCCTGTTACCTTCAAGATTTCTTTTGCAGCTTCCTTACCTCTCAGCCCTCTTAGAATTGAAGAGAATTAATCGCCTTGCTCTGGATTAGAGCAGAACACTGAAACTTTTTCTCCATATCAACGATAAGGGTGTTTCACTTTCTTATTATTTGTGTGCTCACTATAATAGCACTTTCCAGTTCCTGCAAGGACTTTTCCTTTACATCCACAGCTTGCTAGCTATTTGGCACAAGAGGCCTAGGTTTCGACCTGTCTTGTCTTCCGACATGCCTTCTTCACTAAGCTTAATCATTTCTAGCTTTTGATTTAAAGTGAGAGACATGCAACTCTCCCTCTCACTTGAACTCTTAGAGGTCACCATAAGGTTATAAATTGGCCTAATTTCAATATTGTTCTGCTGAGAGAATAGGGAGGCCCAATGAGAGGAAGAGAGATGGAGGAATGGCTGGGTGGTGGAAGAGTCAGAACATGCACAATATTTACAGATAAAATTTGCCCTCTTACATGTGTGTGGTTCGTAGCACCCCAAAACAATTACAATAGTAACATCAAAGATCACTTATCACAGATCACCATAACAAATACAATAATGAAAAATTTTGAAATATGACAATTACCAAAATGTTAACACAGAGACATGAAGTGAGCAAATGCTGTTGAAAAGTGGCACCAGTAGACTTGCTCGGTGCAGGGCTGCCACAAACCTACACTTGGTAAAAAATGAAATATCTGTGAAGCGCAATAAAGCAAAGCGCAATAAAGCGAGGTGCACTTTATCTTATATCTTTAGCTACAGCTAACATAAGGGTTTAGTTTTTTTCATTACTGTTGACTTTTAATTTTTACACAAAGTTTTCCATTTTAATATTGTCCTAGCACTTTGGTTAATGATCATTAAAAATTAGTTTTATTAGGATTTTGAACTTCATTGTATACATGTAATTTAGGTAAGTTGCTGTTTTGGTAGAGATGAATTATCTGAAAGATAAAAGTTAACAGTGTGTTAATGTTAGCTGCCACATAATAAATGACACTTTAAAAAATAATTAAATTGGAAACATAATTTCCAAAACCATTGTTATTGATTGGCATTGGGAGGTTGGAAAATTTGTAATCAATTTTCAATTTTTATGCTAATTAAAGCCAGCAAAACATAGATATTTGAAATGTATATTTGACCCTCAAATATGTTTATCAGGGATTTAGTTGCCTTTTGTAACAACAGGCTTTCCTATAGTAAACAAAATTGAAGAGGGAAATGGATTTAAAAGATTAGATAATGTATCCCTGAACCAATAATAAACTGTGTGTTCCTGGTATCATTTACAGTTAAACACAAAAGACATTAAATTTCTGTTAACTTAGAAAAATTCTGCTTACTATTCATGTTTCAAAATAGGGAATTAGTAAATTGTTTACTTATATTTTAGATAATTATATTATGTAAATGATGTCAAAATTGTAGGTTCAGTTTCTTTTTCCATTACTAGTTGCTTTAAAGAGAAAAGACATAACCATGGACAGCATCTGAGCTAGTTAAAAACATGCCAAGGAAAATCTTAATATACTCAAAAAAATTTTTAATTAATATTTTTCTTGTAGTGAGCTTTGTTATCTTTTTAAGTAAAGCATAGTATATTTTGTGTATATTTTAAGTCTTTAAGTTTTGTCATGATATTTAACCAATGTAATTTTGTAATTCTAGCTAATAGCCCAGAACACTAGGTCTATTATTAATAGTCACTTGTTCTAACAGGACAGACCACTTGTATGCCTTCTTCATTCAGTGGAGTCCAGAAATATATGCAGAAGATACTGGTGAATATACCAGAGAACCAGGATTTATAGTTGTAAAAAAGATTGAAGAATCTGAAACAAATGAGGATTCTACTAATGAAGCAGCAGCCAGAGAATGGGAGGTAAGGAGGAAAATGTGAAGCTTTCATTCATCTTTTTCCTTTGTGTGAATTTTTATAGCTTCATGGAGATCTTTCTACAAAAGAATTTTTTAAAGGCTTACTTTCCATGCGTTTTATTGAATGAATCTGATTTGTATCTTTGGTTTATTACTTTTTGTCATTTTTCTTTTGCCTTAAAATACTAAAGATGCAACATATCAGCAATCAGATGACTTACTGAGTGCATTTTAGAATAATGTTAATTACTGTTATACTGACTTTCATAAACTTTTTTAGATTTGACTCATTTTAATGTTACCTCCTGCGTGGAGCTAGTACAGCATTCATTTAACACATTTATGCAAATTAGCACTCTTTTCTAAGCCCATACCCAAGCATTATTTTGACGTGAATGTAGTATCAACACTTTGGAAAGAAACTGATGCTGATTTTACAAAATAGTAAAAATGTTATGTGCTCAAATTTAATGAACTCATCTATGTGGCCAAATTAACACTAACCAACTTCCTGCAACCCCTCCTGGGGATGCATGTTTTAATAATACATAGCATGTTTTACATGCTTTGTCTTGTGGGATTGATAGGGTGACAGTTACTGGTTTTTCTGTTGTGTGATTGCCTGGATTAATCTCTTTGATGCATTAGAAAATATAGAGCAGATGCTAAAATGTGATAGTAAATGGGGTCAAATTGTGTTCATTTGTTGTTAATGTTTGTAGTTGTTTATGTGATATAAATGTATTGTGCATGCACTTAACATGTATAATGTTTGAAGGTATACATGGCAAGTCTTGTTTAAAATGTGAACCTGATTTTGAATGTGTTAAAGTCTATCTGTGTTTCTACGGTTCCTTTAGTATAACGGAGGGAAAGAGGTAACACATATACTGAGCATTTATTTTTGGTTCTTTTAATACGTAAACCAACATTATTAATCTTCACACCAGCTTTATTCACAAATAGCCCCAAACTGGAAACCACGTGAATGCCTATCAGGAGAATGGATAAATAAATATTGGAATATTCGTAAAATTCCAAATAATATGGCAATAAAAAAGATCTCGCACAGGCAACAACGTAGATGAACCTCACAGATAATATGTTTAGTAAAAAAAGCCAAATCACATAAAAAAGAGTATGTACTGTATAATTCCATTTACATAAACTAGTCAAAAGTCCATCAGACTACCTGTTTCAGGAGTTATTGGGTGGACAGGGGCAGGAGGGAACTTTAGAGTACTGGAGATGTTCTATATTTTATTCTGGATGATGGTTACATGGATGTTCCTATATAGAGAATCATCCCTTTGTATTTAAAATTAGTTTTAGGAGGCTTTTAAAATAGCCCAGGTGATCCAAGAAATGTACCTGTGTGCAGGCAGCAACAGTTGAAGGTAGCGTTAGAAGGGGATGAAATAGCTAAAGGTATCAATAGCTAGTAAGACTGAATTTAGTAACAACCAAGTAATGGTGAAGTTTTTGAGTTGGGTAAAAAGTGGATGGCAATATTTTCAATCAAGTAAGGGAATTGGGAGCTTTCTCTCCACTGGGGTTGAAGCACTTAATTTTGGAAATAATAGACTATTAAGGTTATTTGACTGTTGACAGTTTTGGTTCAAAGGAACTGTCTCAGTTCTTGTGGAAGACTGTGAGTTTTAATTTCTAAAGAAAAAATAAATGTCTCCTCACCTGTTTACAATCAGAATTGATTCAAATTAAAAGAAAATGGAAGGAAAACAATTTCAGAAACTTTACTGCATTTTCTAGATATAGTGCTACAGTGTCCAGTATGGTAGCCACTAGCCACATAGGGCTATTGAGTACTTGAAATGTTGCTAATATGCAACTAAAACGTGGAATTTTAAATTTTATTTAATTTTAATTAAAGTTTGAAACCGATAATTGACTCAGTTATTGGATAACCTTTAAATGTTTGGAACAACTTGGGTTTATGAATCTTTTTTCAACCCTAACTTTCATGAAATCTAAATATGACCTAAATAAATCTAAATCTCAGTAACATCAAGTATTTTCTGTGAAAATTTAGTGTCTGAATTTAGATGTGCTGCAGTGTAAAATATACTAATTCCTAAAGATATTATACAATTGCCGCCAGCAACATGTGGCTATTGAACACCTGAAATGTGGCGAGTCTGAATAGAGATGTCCTGTGAATATAAAATATACACTGTATTTTAAAGATTTAGAATTGAAATAAAAAAAGAATGTAAAATATTAATTTATATATATATTGATTATGTTGAAATCATAATATTTTGTATATATTAGGTTAAATATATTGAAATCATTTTAACCTTTTTTTTAACATAGCTACTAGAAAATTTATAATTGCATAGGTCTTGTATTTCTCTTTTACAGTACTGCTCTAGTGTCTCTGATGGTTACTGAGTACCTAAAAAGTACATTTTTTTCATTCAAAAGTCGCTCTTGGTGTTGTACATTCTGTGAATTTGAACAAATGTATAATGAAATAAGAAAATATTTTAAGTGTTAAAGTGATGTTTTACAAAAGGAATTTGGCTAGAGCACTTATATAAAATAAGAGTACTTCAAAATGTGAAGTGATATTTTTAGGGGGTTTTTCTGCCTAAGTAGGGATCGAGAATAGGTGACTTGTAATTTAGGATGAATTTATTATGGCTATCAACTTAGGCATTAGTGTTTGATTAAAACTATCTGGTCTACTCACTCTTGCTCAGCATCAGTGATGCATAGGAGATCTTTATTATCCCCGTTATTTGGGCAGAAATATATCAGTAACCCGCAATGTATACATTGGGAAACCTGCATATGGTAAACTTATTCCCACTCCCACTTCCCTTGCCTCTTTCCTGTCCCCCTCCCTGTATGAACACCGTGAGGGCTGGTTTTGTCAGTATCATACCCTACTAAGCCTCAGATCTAAGAGCAGTGTAGGTATGTATTAATTAATGAATAAATTTGGGCATACATTAAAATAGGATATAAAACTTCTATTCATCTTTCAAAATTGGTCTATATCCTAAAATAAGTTCTTATGTCAGTTGTAGTAAATATTTTGTCATAAAGCCGTAGACTGTGGAAGTTGGAATTAACTGACATTCCAGCCTCTTTCATTTTATATTTTACACTGTTCTTGGTTCTACTTTGACATATTCAACAATAGGAAGTTTATTACTCAAAGGGCATACTTTTCATTTTAGGACAACTCTATTAGAAAGTTCTTTTTTAGAGTGAATTTAAAGAAGCATACCTTTGTAAGTTTAATCCATTTGTCTTTGTTCTTCCTTCTGGCGCACATCAATAACAATAATTTTCTATATACCATGATAATCTGAAAATATTTATTATCTTCATTTTTAATCTTTTCCAGGATTATTTTCCCTGGTACTTCCACTGTTTAACTTTATTAGTAACTCTTTCTAAATCCTACACTATCCTCGTCATTATCCTAAAATATGTCAAAGCATTCATAAACAAATTACTAAAATGTGTACTTGACGTAATAAGAAAAAATCTATAACATTTGAAACAATTTCAGTTCCAAAACATGCAAATTGAAAGTCAGTCTTATTGAAGATAATTAGGAAGGCTAGAATTTAAGAATTAGAAATTATGAGAAATGAAGAAAGGAGATCAGTACTAGAGATTTATTTGTAGAGTGAATTCCAGAGAGAGGTGAGAGCAGCAGAAACCTATGTTTACTAAGAAAGTGAAAAGTTAGCCAAATTTTAAGGAGATCAGGAGTAAGAACTTCTAATGATACATCAGAACTAAGGTTTCTGAATATTGGGAGAAAGAATATGAGAATTACCATACTTATATAATTCAAATGTATACCAGTGAGATTGATATTTTTTAGTATATACCCTTTATTCTATTTAGTTAATGTAAATATAGTTAGCATAAAACATCAGGTTACCTCAACCATGTTATTTTGTTGTTGTTTTTTTAGCCTTAATATCTTGAGTTTGTTAGTTATGAATCTTCTGTTTCGGGGATTTTAATAACCATACCTTTCCACTGAAAAGGAATGACTTATTACAGAATCTTTTCCTCTGGTTTCTGCCAGTATCCAATAACAGGAAGACAGGAGAGCATGTGTAGTGAGGATAATATTTTATGTGGGGCTTTACAGTTTGTGAAAAATGTTACAGTTTGTGAAAAATGTTACTTACTTTTTTACTTTTTGATGGAGATTGTTTTTATGGATTTTCACTAGAAAGGGAAGTGCTCTAATGGTGTTTCAAGGTACTGAGGTAAAGGTGGGGAAAGAGCCTGTTGACACCTACTGTTTCCTAATGATAGTGCTTTGATTTTATAAATATACAAAAATAGATATTAATAGTATAATGAATTTGCATATACCAATCACTCAGCTTTATCAGCTTATTTCAACTGTAATCCTTTTCCCCAGTTGTTCACATTTCTTCAAATGTCATAAAAATGTTTAAAATGTATGTAATATGAGTGTATTTTTAGCTTATTTGAATCAAGATCCAACTAAAATCCAAGCATTTCAGTTATTAATAGTTAAAATTAAGTCTCTTAAGTCTCTGTAAATCTAGGTTCTTTCTCCATTTCTTTGCTATTCCTGTTGTCCTTGTAATTTTAATTTTTAAGAAATCAGATTTTTCCTGTAGACTGTCCCACAGTTTGGATTTTGCTGATGGCATCCCCACAGTGTTATTAGCATATTCTTCCACCTTGAATTTTCTATAAATTGATAGTGAATATATAGAATAACCCATTTAACCATAGACTGTCATCTTTATTATAGAGGTAATTTCTCTAAACTTGTTTCTTATTTGGCTAAAATTCTCATGTAAATCTTAGTAGTTAATCTGTAATTCAGAGTCTGTACTCTTTTTAGCACACCATCTTCTCAACCTTGGCAGAACCTTTGAATCATCTGGGGGAACTTCCAAAACTCTTATTGCCCAAGGTCACCTCAGACCAATTAAATCAGAGTCATGAGGTGTGGCACTTACTTATCAGTAA